GATGTAAGGGAGATTCATGCGGTTGCTCGAGGTTTCGATTTTTCGGAATCGTTCCGCGCTGCTGCTTTTCCGCGAGAAGTCACAGAGCAGAGCCCCTCCAGGATTTAGACTAAGATGGTCTAAGCTTGTCGCATTTTGAACCCTAAACCCTACGCCCTAAACTCTAAAACCCTAAACCCTAAACCCTAAACCCTAAACCCTAAACCTTAAACCCTAAACCCGAACTTCAGAGGTCGCTTTTCCAGTCGCCTGTCCGGCTCTCTGCTGCAGATTCCGGATCCAGATCGGTTCACCATAGCACCTTGCAAGGAACTGTGGCCTCATCTTGGAAGCGTTCGAACCTGAGGGCATTCTTGAAAAAGTACTAGGTGGGACCTTGAGATGTTCGTTTGTTTTTTCCCTTTATTGGGATTAGGAGGATGATACTAAGGAATATTTTTTCTGAGGGATCAGGACCACCCTAGGTAGAAACAAAACTCAAGTGTGATGCGCCCCCGCGTCGCTGCAGCTCGCTGACAGCCGGCGACCACCCCAAGGCGAATGGGCAACCCTAAACCCTAAACCCTAAACCCTAAACCAAGCACAAGAAGAGCAGCCTCCAAGGCTTTTGAACGCAAGTGGCAGGGCGTGGTCATCACTGGCAGTGTTCACTAGATTCACTAGTAGTCTTTGGGCTCTTGGAAGGTTCTACTGGAGTTCTACTGCTCTCTTGAATGGCAAAACTCGCACCAGCTCGCGGTACATGCGTTCACACGCACAGCAGATACACAGGTTAAGGAGTCTAGGAGCCCTCCGGCTCCGACGTTGTGCAGGCCTCTGTAACTAAAGTCTTACGCGACCGTGAGAAGAGCTTTAAATTCTGGCGCCCAATGTTCAGAGCCCTGGGTTTAGGGTTTAGGGTTTAGGGTTTAGGGTTTTAGGGTTTAGGGTTTAGGGTTTAGGGTTTTAGGGTTTAGGGTTTAGGGTTTAGGGTTTAGGGGCTTCCTGGTCTGCGCGGGAGGCGTCATGGCCGCCTCGAGACGGCATCTGGCTTGGAGTTGCAAAAGACGCAGCGTGGGATTTCAGGGCAAACCAGGGCAGCGAAGTGTTGGGATTTAGGGTTTTTAGGGTTTAGGGTTTAGGGTTTGCAACACCATGACATCAACACCCTAAACCCTAAACCCTAAAACCTGAATTCTTTGCGCACCTGCCCTCGGCAAGGCCTGTCACCGGAAACGCTCCGCGGCAGTTTGGAGACGCTCAGCCCAGGGACTCCAAACCCCCTCAATTAAGGAATATACCTTAAATCATGTTAGGGTTCCTATATATACAATTTAAAGTATATATTCCTTAATTAATATATATACAATTTAAGGTATATATTCCTTAATTACAAGGGGTTTTGGAGTCTCTGGGAGGTTCCCGGCTGAAGATCTCGGATGGCGTGAAGAGGCGAGAGCGCTGAGCATGAAGACATATATGGAACTGCGGGCGTGGTGCAGAGTAAAAGTCACATGAAACGCTTACGCGAACTTCTGCTGGCTCAAGGATGTAAGCTGGCGTAACTTTGGTCGCGCCGGTACCTTCCGTTGCCTCTGGCATTCCATCTCGGATTCCAGATCCTCACCTTTCCGACACTCACCGCCCGCCATGGCACCATGGTATTTTCAGGCTATTCTCGCCCCACTCCTGGGGTCAGCCTTGGCTGAGCAGTGCTCGTGCCACGGCCGAAACGTGACGGTGATAAGGAGCACATGACTATGTTAGGAGGGAGAGCAGACACCTTGATGTTAGCCATGTAGAAACGTTTGTCAGTAATCTAAAAAATCATCTTAAGAACGCCCACGCCAGGATGTTGCGATGGTGAAGCTTCCAAACGAAAATTTCAGTGCACAGCTCTGCTGAGAGCCAAAAAATGCTATGAAAGACTCTGGCCCATGCGGGAAAATGTCACACCCTTGGGAATTATGTTTTATGTTTATATATATATATGTATATGTATATATATATATATGTATATATATATATATATGTATATATATATATATATGTATATATGTATATATGTATATATATATGTATATATACTCCCCAAGAGGATATTAATCATGTCACTTTTATTAAGGTTCTAAGGGGAGTATAGACACAGGGTCCCAAGCGAAGGTAAGGAAATGGGAAGATCTGTCACCGCAGTTTCGACACTTGTTTCAGAAGCCCTGGTCCCAAGCATGTGTCCAATGCACATGGGGATGAAAGATGTTAGGGTTTAGGGTTTAGGGTATGCTCAGAGCCTGGGTTCAAAAGGGTTTAGGGTGTTCCTTTGCTCACACAGAATTCCTTCGAGGCCTCGGTTTCTGTCCTCTCCGGGCTACAGACTTGCCTGCCGAAGAAGCAAAAAACTATCACTTCCGCCTCTACCAGTCGGAAAAGAAGCATGACCCCCCCCACAGAGTATTCCAAAGTCTTGCTGTTCGTGTGATGTTGTGTTGTCTACCGTTATCTACAATACTTGTACCGGGAGTATTGTAATGTAGTGCATTGATTGCCTGGTATTCTATCCTCCCCGTGCTGGCTCGCATCGTATAGTACGCTAAGATCTGTTATGTATGCACGAATAGGAGTATACATACATACGTGTAAACAAGAGAGCACACACACATGCCCGCCTGCAATGTCAGTTTTGATCAGACTGACTGTTGACATCTGAACTATGAGTAGTATCTTGGGGACGAAATGAACCCTAAAATTGGGGTCCTATACCCTATACTGTACTACGACAATTCCCATTAAGGTACATGAACCATAAACCCTTTTAGGGTTCATTCCGTCCCCAAGGTGCCGGTAGGTCAAGTATCCATGACAAGGTACGCTGATCCGAATCCTCAGGCTGGTCGTGCACTTCTACAAACAGCCACGCATTTGAAAAACCCGGCTCCTGTCTGTTCATCTTGGAAGTTGGAGATAGCATCCGAGAACAAAGATTGGGAAGCGCACATCTTTGAGATCGAGCTCTACAGTGGAGACCAAATGATCTCAGGGGCAGGCATGGGAACCGCTACCTCCGATTGCGAGCGCTCCTCTCCGGATGGAGCGTTTGATGGGGACACCGGCACCAAGTGGGTCACGTGCTCTGGCGCCAAGGTCGGAAAGAGCGTGACATACAAGTTGAACCAACCAAATGGCGTGACGAAGGTCACTAGATGTCTCTTGGGAATCATTTTTTAAAATTTGTTTATATAAACCCCAAGAGGACATTTAAAAACAAATTATTTTATGACGGTTCTAAGGGGAGTATAGGTCAAGACTAGACAGTGGGGCGCTGCCAACAACGCCATTCCCAAGTTCGACTTGTACTGCTCCACTGATGACGTCACCTTCTCCTACGTGTCTCTGTCATAGTTGGGTACAGTTCTACATGTTTCAGGGTCATTTTAAACCCTATAAGGAATAACAAATTAGATTTTTTCATTTAGTTTTTCAGGGTACTTAAACCCTCTTAAGCCCTATAAGGAATAACAAATTGAATGTTTAATATTATCCCAACCATGAACGAGGTGTGGACGGCCGACTTGGGAAGCGGCGCGGGGACGAACGAAGCCTCCTCCGGCCTTTCCGCGCCCAGTGATGAGATCCTTGGGGAAATGAACCCTAAAAGGGTTTATGGGGTTTAGGGTTTAGGGTTCATGTACCTTGAGAGGGTTCATGTCTTCCCAAGGATGATCGCCAGCTTCGCCCCGCACACCACGACCACAACCACCATGGACCCTGCGCTTTTGGCAAAAGCCAGGATCTTCCTGACGGCTGAGAAGCTCAGCATGGTTTAAACGGTTTGATCTTCAGAATGGTACAGACGTTCAGCCCCTAACAGTTCGGGCCGAGCCTAGAGTGTCGTCCCAAACATTCCCTACGTAGATCCCCCATCCTGCTTCCCCTTGTTTGGGGGGGGGGGGGTCGATAAATACAAATTGCAAATGGGGGGGGGGGGGGGGGGGGGGGGGGGGGGGGGGTGTTAAATGCAATGCACATGGGGCGACGTGCCTGGCTCTGTGCTGCAAAGCCTGCCATGTAGGTCAAATGTGTCATGGTTGCAGGATCACTCTTCAAGGAGTCCACTGGACTTTGTCTCTGAACTAGTTTTGCCTTTTTTTGGCTTAAGTCCGCTGGACTTAAGCCCCCACTGCAAATAATGATTGCGCTGCTTGCATGTATTTGGGAAAGTTTCTGGGGCTTAAGTCCACTGGACTTACACCCCCACGGAAATTGTGTCTTTATGTTGGCGTTCTGGTTTGGGCTTAAGTCCGGCGGACTTAAGCCTCCGGAGGTGGTGCACGTCCATGGGGGGCATCAATTTGCTAGACATATCACCATCAAACTGGCTGGCAAACATACGTGCGGCACGTCTTTTGGCTTAAGTCCGCCGGACTTTCGCCAAAACTTGTTGGCAGGCCTCAAAAATGGAGATCAAATGTCACTGAAGCATCCACTGGGCTTTTGCTGGTCTGGAACTTGAAAGCTGTCACATAACTGCCTTAAACGAATTTGCACAAGGTTCAATCCGCAACTGGTTGCGAATTGAACCCTGTGCAGAAACATGCATAAACAAGAGAAGAACTCATGTTGGAAATGATGGGGCGTGCGCAAGGTTCAATCCGCAACTGGTTGCGAATTGAACCGCGCGAGGAAACAAGAGAATATTTCATCTTGGAAGCAAGGCTGGGCCGTGCCGACATGCTGGCTGTAGCACTTTCACCCATTTTCACCCTCTGACGTTGGGAAGTTCTCAATTGCATTTTTCCTTTGAGGCATGCTGAAACGACGTCCGAAAATGCGGATTGCACTTTTCAACCCCCCCCCCCCTCGCGGACATGGGGGATCTACGTAGGATGTCTTTATTGCTTTCACTGGGTGCCGGGCTGGCTAGCGCGGCATCACTTGATCAACAACCATACCCATTAGGGGGTCCTTCCTTCTCAAACAGGGCAATTTTCTTCGGAGCTCTTTTGCTTCCCAGGGCACATTCCATGAACCTCGGTGGCATTGCGGGGGCAGATGCGATTTGCACGGCAGAAGCAGGTCAAGCCGCAAAGGCCTTGTTGGTGGATAGTTCGGGCTGCGGTGGGGCACCCTGCCGCCGCGCATCTACACAGGCCTGGCCCCCCACTGAGGGGCGGATCGACTGGCCGTTGCAACCTCGGACCACCTACTACAACAAGGATTGGACAGAGGAGGTGGGATTCACGGTGGGACATGGTGTCAATACGCACGAGCCGGAACCTAGCATAGCCCAAATGGTGGAGAATGAGTGGGCTTCTTTGCGCGTTTTTCAAAAGCATTTCATTTCCAGTAGTAGCCATGAGCTACATGATCCACTAAAACATTTGCGATGTGCTTGGACATGAAGTCTGCACACTTTGACTCAGTCATTCTTAGAAGTTTGACCGACTGAATCTGCATGCTGTAGCACGATCTAGCACGTGAGCTGTGGCCGCCACAGCTCCTTGAATGCAGGTGCTGACCACCGATTGCCACGCATTGCTGGCAGGGACCTTTCACAACCCAGTGACCAGCACTGGATGCAGCAATCAAGTTACGGGCCTGAAGAAAGACTTCCAGACGAAGTCGAGTGCCACTTGTAAAAGTTACACCAGCGCAGATCCAGCTGATCAGATGTCGGTTGGGTGGTCCTGTGCTACGAATGGCCCGGCATTGGTGTACAACTGGGTGTATCCTAAAGGGACTCAGTCCTGCGACATCAAGAAGCAATTCGTCTGCGTCACCACTCCGGAACCCACTGCTGCAGCGACATGTAGCTTGGCAGCAGGGTTTAGGGTCATGGCTCTTCGCCCCGAGCATGGGAAATCATAAACCCCACCCCCGAAGGAAAGGCTTGTGAGGTCCTGCCTCCTGGTGCCATTGGCTGTGGCGAGATCAGCATTCCTTGCGAATATGAACTTCATCTCAGTGGTTCCAACGGCTCCCTCTTAAAAAAACGACCGCCGTTTCCTAGCAGGGAAGCATCACATGTTCGTCCAAAAGGACTGCCTCGCTCGAACTTGAACCTACAGCAGCGCTAGGGTTTAGGGTTTAGGGTGATGTGAAAAGGGCCTCAAACACTTCACTGTCTCACGTGGCAGACATGAAAGGTGAGGAACAGCGCATAATTGGGCAACGTCCCAAAGATTCGACGTCAAACATGGAAGCGCCTTCCCGAGTCAAGATCCAAAAAAAGAGAAGCAAAACAGCTCAAAGCAACATCAAAACACAACAATCCAACTCAGACAAGTTCACCGCACAGCGGTCTATGAGCGAGAGTCGGGAATGCATCCTATATATAGATCTGCATTTCGCCGTTGAGTTGCTCTCTTTGCGTTCTGCCATTAATGTGTACGACTTAGATGCCTCAGAGTTGCTGGGGACCAGATGCAGCTTTAAAGTTTCTAAGCCATCCTGCTTAGGTGATGAGTGGAAAGTTCTGCAGCTGGAGGACTACAAGGCCTTCATCTCTGGTTCTGGTACCTCGGGGACCAAATGAGCCCTAAAAGGGCTTATGGCTCATAGACTTTAGTAGGAATGATAGTAGTACCGAGTATATGACCCCACTTTTAGGGTTTAGGGTTTAGGGTTTAGGGTTCGTTTGGTCTCCCAGGTAAGGCGGTGGTGTACGAGGGCCCCCGCTTGGCCTTGGTCATTGCAGACACCGCGCGGTCTGCAGAATTCAATCCAGATGTGACTAGATCCCCCTAGGGAATTTTTTTTTGTGTGTTTTCGTTTATATAAAACCCAAGAGGATACTAAAGATATTGTTTTGATTAAGGTTCTAAGGGGAGTTTAGGTGAATGATGCGAAGACTACGGCGGCCATGAAAGACATTGTGACTGGGTGGCGTTTTCATGCACGCAAGACACACATACAGAGAGAGAGAGAGAGACACGCTTCTATTGATTTAGACAGGCTGCTTGCCTGTTTACATGCCGACATGGTAGATACGATTGGATTCAACCAGCTCTTCCTGTTGTTGCTTTCCATGTCATCCAATCACAGTAGCAACTGCTGACCTGTGGTGACAAAAGAACATGTAGCCGAAGTGCTGAACGGCTAGAGCGGTTTGAGCAGCCGGTCAACATGAAGTAGGGTCTATATTTCTTGTATCCCTGGAGTCTCCGAAGAGCTGTCCGAGCAAGAAGCGAAAAACTAAAGCCCCAAAAGGGACACCCAATACAAACACACACCTATATTAAACGGAACCTTATATACACTCACCAATAACAGCAACATAAACCCTGCTTCAGATAGCTCATGACATCCAGCGACATCCTGTTAGCTTCTTATTAAGATCAGGTTTCCAACTTGGAGAAGATGCTCTACATCTACGACGATGTGGTTGGAATGATTCCCACGTACTACACCTCTCCGGATGCACGGCTGGAAGGAAGGATTCCCAACGAGATCAACTACCTGAACGCTGGGGGCCTGGCTCACGCCACCCGTGCGGGCTGCGCAGCTTGGGTGGCCCAGTGGTGCGTTTTTTTCCCTCTTTTTTTCGGTTCAAGGTTCCCTTGCAAAGTAGCCAGACCCCAAAATAGGGTACCCCTACTACAGTTCCCATGTTAGAGTAGCCGATCCCAAAAAGGGCACCCATGTTCAAATATGGCTACTGGGGGTACCAAGGCAGTTGGCCCTGACTTCCTCAGGAAGATGTTGGACTTTCACCTGCAGGGTCGGCAGGTGGTTGATCACGTCTTCTTCTACGAGAACTTCAGAAACTACATGTTCCCGAATGTCTTCACGAAGCTAGCTTGGTTTTTGGGACATGTCTTATGTTCTTCCTTATTTGTTTTAAAGGGGCCCTAGATATCAATATTCTTATGTTCTTCCTTATTTGGGTTTATAAGGGGGCCTATACATAAGTATTTTTTCGGAGGGCTCTAATGAAGTCCAACCCAGGAAGGTGTTGGACTACCACACGTCAGTGAGCTATCAGAGCTCTGGGTGGGTGAATCAGGGCTTCATCAACATCTTCGGGTGTCTCACCTCCGTTGCCATCACGCCGCCGGTGGAGTTCAACTACTTCGGAAGCTAGGTAGACCCTTACAAGGGACATTTTTATATGTTTCCTTGTTGGGTTTAAGAGGGCAATAACCCTAAACCCTAAACCCTAAACCCTAAACCCTAAACCCTAAACCCTAAACCCTAAACCCTAAACCCTAAACCCTAAACGGAACTTTTTTCAGAGGGTCTTGAGAGCCATCCGAGGAAAGGACCGGGAGGAGTTCATGGCCATGATGGAAGAGAACTTGGCGATCTACGTCAGCAACCCTGAGTACCTTGGGGACCAAATGAACCCCTAAAAGGGTTTATGGCCCATATACCTTAGTAGGAACTATAGTGTTTATGAAAAGAGTAAAAGGGCTTGTGGCTCATATGCTTTGAGTTTGAGAGGAATTATAGTAGTACCGAGTATATGACCCCAGTTTTAGGGTTCATGTGGTCTCCAAGGTACAACCTGGACAACGTTTTCATGCAGGAGTTCCTTCCCTGGGCCTCCCACAGCAGCCTTGACAATCTCTATTCAGGACTGGGTGAGATCCGTTGCAATGTGCCCCGAAATAGTTGCGAAGTTCCTGGAAGAATGGCAATGCCCCATTGTCCACGGCAAGACTAGAGTGACTAGCGGGGAAAGACGCCCCAAAAACAAGGAAAGCAAAAGAGTCAGATCACCGGTTCTCGGCCCGAGAACCCTGACCATCCTTGGGCCTACAGTACTTGGCGGGATTTGCAGTCGAGAAAGCCGACCAACCCCGTCGTTAGGCCTACTGTACTTTGCTAGCTGTAGAGTAGCATGTGCAGTATCCTGACGTTCAGGACTCAACTCTTTCCTCTTCCGGAACTGTGGCGGCGTGGAGTGGTTGAAGGGGTTCTTTGGCTCTTTGCGCGGTCTGCTGGTCCGCGCTCCCGATGGAAAAGGCGACTACGAGACCGCCATGGAGAACTACTACATTGCAGCAAGCATCGGTGCGAAAGCAGACCTCAAGGATTTCTTTACAGGCGCGCGGCCCCTGAAAGGGATCCCAAGAGACAGGCAATTGCAACAAGTGGAAAAACTGAGAAAGGTGAAGCAAAGCAGCTGCCTAAGGGAAAAATAATGGAAAATGGGGTTGGTTGCATGTGGGGCTGGTGGGAATGTCGTAGCAAAGGGGATTGGAAGTTCTAAACGTAGAGACAGTCCGGAAGGTAGTTCAAAAACGATTTATCTGTAAGTTCTAAAGAAGCTTTAACAAGTTTTCTCTACAAATCCTAGAAGTTCTCAAGGCTAAGCAATGCCTTCTCTGTGGGCTCACTTTTTGAGCCCTGCATGAACCTTGCAAGTGCTAATGAGAGCTCCCGGGGGGCAGAGCTGCCATCGTGCAAAAAAGGTTGGTTAGGGTTTAGGGTTTAGGGTTTGGGAATATCAAAAATAGTAGCAATATAGCAAATAATCAACGTAGATTAAAGGGTTCGGAGGGTTACGCAATCATAAGAATAACGTCTGGAGAGACTCCCCTCTCTCCCCTCCCCACTCACAATGAGAGCGCACAAGAAACAAAAAAGGGGGCCACATGGGTGGCAGAACATCGTAAGGACTAAATGAACCTTAAAAGCGTTTATGGTTCATATACCTTAATAGAGATTATAGTACAGTAGTATAGCTTATAGGAACCCAATTTTTGGGGTTCATTTGGTCCCCAAGGCACTGTGTCTAAATTCCAAGCTTCCGGTCATCCGCGAAACCAAGTCCGCCCCTTAGCCAGTAGCCTCAGAGCCCCTCGCACCCTTCAGGATGCCATGTATAGTATATAAGATATAAGATATAATATATAATATATAATATATAATATATAATAATGGAATATATAATAATGGAATATATAATGTGATATGATGTGATATCATATAATGTAACATAACATAGTATAATATATAACAGAGCTTGTGGCAAAAAGCTTCCAGAAGCCCATGCGCCGATATGAGCTCGTAGTTTTTTGGTAGATCCGGGGGGTGCCAAAGTTAAAAGTTTCAAGAGGCACTAGAAGTTCTACAAGCTCTGATTTAAGAAGCTTCCGAAGTTTCTCCACCCCCTCGGCCTAGGGATCGCGAGGATCGGTTAAAACTGTTCTGTTATCAGAATGTAGAGCTTAGGATGGTCTTTAAAAAGTTCTGGAAGTTCTTGTGCTCATGAGAGTTCGGAAATGTGTGGATGTTCCACACTTTCTCTAAAGTTCTAGAATTTCTGAAACGGTTAACACGTTCGAGAAGTTGAAAAGAATGCCTAGCGTGTCGGTAAGAGAGGATCCTGGACAAGCCTAACGACCCTTGTGCCAAGGAATCCCCAAAGAGGTCCCCCCGCCACCCCGATCGCAAAAAAAGACAATCCCAACGAACACCACTCGCAAGCAGCAACATGCGCAAAAAACAATCAATGATCAAGGCTTCAGTCCAGGGGAGCCCTCTCAACCCTAAACCCCTAAACCCTAAATCCCGTGAAGACATGGATCGCGTGCGCAAGCCTCAGATCATGCAGCAGAAACACCATGAAACAGAAACCCTTGAGTCAGGCGAGTTGAAATGGCGCCTTCGTCCTGCTGCCTTGGCAGAAGTTCACGCGAAAGGTTTTACAACGACGATGAGCCTGTCGGCAACCACAACGACTACCACCACGACGGTGCGACTTGTGAAAGATGCCAAGAAAGCCCAGGATTTTGCATCTAGAAAGCTCAGGAAATAGAGAGGTTGTTTTGGGAAGCCGTTGTTCAGTGCATCTATGGGTTCTTGGGTTGTGCAGCATCTCCATTTCTTTGGCTGACACAAGGTGGGGCCCCCTTACTATACTAACTGTAGTTAAGGGACTTATAACCTAATTCAGGATCCTTATAACCCAATTTAGGGCTCTTATAACTCTACTTATAACTAGGGGGCCCCACCTTGCAGGCGGGCGTGGCTCCTGTTTGCTCATCTTGGAAGTTGGAGATAGCGTCCGAGAACAAAGATTGGGAAGCGTACATTTATGAGATTGAGCTCTACAGTGGAGACCAAATGGTCTCAGGGTCAGGCATGGGAACGGCTACCTCCGACTGTGAGCGCTCGTCTTCAGATGGTGCGTTCGATGGGGACACCAGCACCAGCTGGGTCACGTGCTCTGGCGCCAAGGTCGGAAAGAGCGTGACATACAAGTTGAACCAACCAAATGGCGTGACGAAGGTTAAGACGACACAGTGGGGCGCCGCTAATAACGCCATTCCAAAGTTCGACTTGTACTGCTCGACTGATGACGTCACCTTCTCCTACGTGTGGACGGCAGATTTGGGAAGCGGCGCTGGCACCAACGAAGCCGTATCTGGCCTTGATCCTCCCCCAGTACCAACCACTCCTGCCCCCACGGTTGCGCCTGTCTGTTCGTCTTGGAAACTGGAGATAGCATCCGAGAACAAAGATTGGGAAGCGCACATTTTCGAGATCGAGCTCTACAGCGGAGACCAAATGATCTCTGGGGCAGGCATGGGAACTGCTACCTCCGATTGTGAGCGCTCATCTCCAGATGGTGCGTTTGATATGGACACCAGCACCAAGTGGGTCACGTGCTCTGGCGCCAAAGTCGGAAAGAGCGTGACATACAAATTGCACCACCCAAATGGCGTGACGAAGGTCAAGACCATACAGTGGGGCAGTGCCAACAATGCTATTCCAAAGTTCGACTTGTACTGCTCGACTGATGACGTCACCTTCTCCTACGTGTGGACGGCAGATTTGGGAAGCGGCGCTGGCACCAACGAAGCCGTATCTGGCCTTGATCCTCCCCCAGTACCAACCACTCCTGCCCCCACGGTTTCGCCTGTCTGTTCGTCTTGGAAGCTGGAGATAGCATCCGAGAACAAAGATTGGGAAGCGCACATTTTCGAGATCGAGCTCTACAGCGGAGACCAAATGATCTCAGGGGCAGGCATGGGAACTGCTACCTCCGATTGTGAGCGCTCATCTCCAGATGGTGCGTTTGATATGGACACCAGCACCAAGTGGGTCACGTGCTCTGGCGCCAAAGTCGGAAAGAGCGTGACATACAAGTTGAACCAACCAAATGGCGTGACGAAGGTCAAGACCATACAGTGGGGCAGTGCCAACAATGCTATTCCAAAGTTCGACTTGTACTGCTCCACTGATGACGTCACCTTCTCCTACGTGTGGACGGCAGATTTGGGAAGCGGCGCCGGCACCAACGAAGCCATCTCTGGCTTGGCGTCACCCTGAGCAGCTGAAAGCAGCAGCCGGGACGCGTAGCACAAAGAAGAGAATAGCATCTGATGAAAATCAGTCACGAGCTTGACCTAGAAATACTCCCTGCGTGCTCAATATGTTGGGCCCAAAGCATCATGCAGTTGTGTTTCCGATACAGTTCATATTGGAGGTTGCGCCAACGTTTTTACGGGAGCTCCACCAGCTGTCGCCCCGTGGTGCTGCCTCCATGGACCTGTGACATCAGGCGACCTGGCGTGATCAGCAAGATCCCAAAAATCCAAATTCCACAGCTGCTTCCTCAGATCAATATCCTATTCAGCATGCATTCGAGGCACCATGCTTTGCACGCGTCTATATGTCATCCATATACTCTAAACCCTAAACCGGGGGGCAACACGCAGTTGCCTTGCGTTGGGTCTTGCTTTTGCAAGCCGAGGCTGAGGTGAAGCCAAGCTCCTTGCGCCCAAAGCAGCTTGCTTTGCAGTTCGAGGGTTTAGGGTTTAGGGTTTAGGGTTCAAAAAGGGTTTTGATTGCAGGACGTCTGCCATGGCAAAGACAAGGCATGCTCTGTCCGCATTCCAAGTCAAATCCCGGCAGTCTTTCCGAATGCGTAGCAGTTAAGGGCTCCCGGTCAGGCAGGTCACCCCGTGTTTCTTCGCATCTTGTGTTTTGCTTTTCGTGTGCCTGGGGCGAGCAGCTGGGCTGTTCTGGTGTTGACCCTTGGAACTTCCCTCTGTTTTCTGAGGATTCAGGGCTTCCAGGTGCTTGTAGATGAAGACCCTAAACCCTAAAGTCCTAGAGTCTCAACCCCGAAAGGGTTCGTGGATTCTCAAAGTAAGGGGTACTATGTGAGGGTTACTTGATAAAGGGGTGCTTTCCAAGGGGCCGCCAAACAAAGGGTAACCCCAAAACCTAAGCCCTAAAGCCCTAAACCCTTGTTGTTGCTTTTGTTTCTTTGCCGGAAGCTCTTACTTCATGTCCTGCAGACCTGTATGCCTGGCGCTTGCAGCGACCCAGCGTTTTCTGGTGAATTTACTTAAAGTTCCATGTAGGATCCTGGCGCGATGGTGCGGTTCGTGGGCTTCCTTGTCATCGCCCTTGCAGCCGGGATCCGTTCGAAGAGCGATCAGGCTTGGCCGTGGGAGGAGCACCCGGCGAGCTCGCCCGAGGAACTTCAGGAGCTCCTGAGGACCCTGCTGGCGCAGAACACGGCTGAGGCCACCAGGGAAGAACCCCCCAGCGATACAGGCGATGCAGTAGCACAGGAGGAGACGCTTAGAGAGCGGGTTGCCAGTATTAGGGAGGACTGGCAGAGTGCCGGCGCAACCACTTGCCACCAGCAGCTGGGGGACCTCATGAACTCTCTCACCCTGGCATGCGAAGGCAAGCAACCGAAAGCCGACTGGCTTCTCGACTACTACCCGGCCCTTCCGAACAAGACGTGCGCGGACAGTGTCAGCGACATTTTCGCGATAGGAAACGAATTGGTGAAAACCCTCCGCGTTTCCAGAGATGCTGTAGCGTCCTTTGATGTGGCTGGCGAAACGGTCCGTCGATACCAAGCACTCTCCTTTCTGCGGAGCTGGCTAGTGGACCTGACCAAGACTCTTCAGCATGCGCTGCTTTGGGCCGGCTTTTGGGATGGGGACCCCGAGAACCGCACGACCCAGGCGACGCTCACCAACTTTGCCAAGGCAATCGAGCACGCGACGGTGCACCCGAACAGCTTCCTGGGCCGAGCCATCGAGGCGAGCGAGAACCTCAACGCCTGCTACGAGGACACCCAGACCAGTGCGCTTGCCGGGAACATGTGGTCCATCGCAAGCATGAGCTTCGTGCTCGGGATGCGCGAAAGGGCACAAGGAACCGTCATCGCACTGGTCAACAAGCAGATCACGGGTGAGCGGAACTTGTCGCAGTCCGTGCTCTCCACCCATGAAATCCCAACGGTGGGGCTCGCAGCTTGGGGCCTTGGGTTTTGGTCTCCGAAAGTGCCTTACTTCGCCTTTAGTTAAACTTTAAACTTTTTGGGTTCCCTTATATTCAGTAGGAATATTGTAGTTTAACCTTTTTTCCCCTTGGTTATTGGAGAAGTAAGGTGCTGGTTGTGGACCTCATGGGCACGTGCGACACGACTAGCCCAGTGCTGCGGAAGCGTCTCCTCACCCGTCTGCCCTCTTGGGCCAAGTCCATGAACTGGAGCCCGGAACCTACCCAAAATTTGGGGTCCCAAACCGAGTCCTATACCCTGCACTAGTATAGCTCCTACTACAGTAAGGTGTATGAACCATAAACCCTTTTAGTAGTTCAGAATTCGTCCCCAAGGAAGCCTTCGCGATGAGGACAAGGCTCCGGTGGCAATGCATCGACTGCTCGGGCACCTGTAGCCTGGACGCGGCCTTGGCAGCACACGTGGAGAAGCTGCTCAAGGCCCTCAAATTCGAGGGGTCCCTTTATATCCATCAGAGCTTCTCTCTCGTCTCTTAGAATTCAAGATTGTTGCATAAACCCTAAACCCTAAACCCTAAACCCTAAACCCTAAACCCTAAACCCTAAACCCTAAACCCTAAACCCTAAACCCTAAACCCTAAACCCTAAACCCTAAACCCTAAACCCTAAACCCTAAACCTTCGCCGGAGGCAAAGGAGGAGCAGGACCGGAAGGACCAGGAGCTCCATAAGGTCGTGAGCCCGCATTTCGCAGCCATGGCCGCTGCCGGACCCCGCCAAGAGGAGCTGGGCCTCGCCGACAAACTGATCAGGTCCTGGGACAAATATTCGGGGGACTCGCGTGGCAAGGATCTGATCAAACTTCACCTCCACCGGCTGCAGCTGCAAAAGGAGCACCAGAGCCGTTACTGGAAGGCGGTTCTTTGGAGACCGAAGCACACCAGCCAGCATCTTCGGGTAGAGCAGCTGCTTCGCCAGAATGCGGATCCGAGCTCTCTGGACCGCCTCGGCCGCACACCCCTCACGTGTGCAGCCGGGGAAGGCCACCTGAAGGTGGTCGAGGCGTTGCTGAGGGCCGGAGCTGAGGTGGATGCCAGGGGTGAGGGTGGCGAAACAGCCCTCGAAATGGCTGCAGAGCAAGGCTACTTGAACGTGGTCACGACATTGCTGCTGGACGGAGCCGAGCCGGGGGCCTGCAATGCACATTGCATCGTCTCTGTTGCAGAGAAAGGTCACCTGAACGTGGTCGAGACTTTGCTGAAGGCCGGAGTTCCGCTGGAATCCCGAGATGAAAGAGGGCGCACAGCCCTCATCTATGCTGCAATGAAGGGCCTCGTGAACGTGGTCCGTTTTCTGGTGAGGGCCGGAGCTGAGCTGGAGGCCCGCGATCAGTCTGGCTACACAAGCCTCATGTTGGCTGCATTCAATGGCAAGTTGGAGGTGGTGGAGGTCTTGATCGAGGCGGGAGCCCAGCTGGAGGCCTCTTGCAAGGGTGGCACAGCTCTCACCGTCGCTGCAGGGCATGGCCATTTGAGGGTTGTTGAGTCATTGCTGAAGGCCGGAGCCCAGCTGGACGCCACTAGTGCGGATGGCAGAGAGCTCACTCCTCTCGCTTCTGCTGCAGAGCAAGGCCACTTGAGGGTTGTCGAGGCATTGCTGAAGGCCGGGGCCCAGCTGGAGGCCCAGGACAAGAAAGGCAACACAGCCCTCATCTTCGCTGCTCGCGAAAAACGCCAGGAGGTGGTACGGGCCTTGCTGGAGGCCCGAGCTCAGGCGGCGGCCCGCGATGCGGATGGCTACACGGCCCTCACCTACGCTGTGTTTACTGGCCAGCTGCAGGCTACATTCCCCCTTAGAAATTTTTTCTTTTTGTGTATATAGAACCCAAGAGGATATTAAACATATTTTTTGTTAAGGTTCTCAGGGGAGTATAGCAGGTGGTCGAAGCCTTGCTGAAGGCAGGAGCCCATGCAGACGCCTTCGACAAGGAGCTCGCACAGCACCAACACCAGCAGATTGCCAACATCTTGTGAACATCGCGGCCCAAAGAGGAAGAACTGGAGAGCATGTTGTGATGAGCCCAGGGGAGGTTTGACCTGAGCCCATGGGGACCAGAAGGGTTGTATAAGGGTCCCCTATATTAAGGGGAACATTAAGGGTTACTGCGCGGGGTACCTCAAGCGGTTTGGGGAAACCCAAACCCAGGGTGGGACTTGGAAGAGCTAAATTACCAATAGCACTTGTAAAGGCCCTATACATTTTATATCTTGAATGCTAGACCGTAAGCCGTGGCACCCAGAACCTGAAGGAGCACACAGTCCGTACAAGGCCCTGTGAGTGTTACATATACATCCCAGCACGCAAAACGCCCCGAAAAAGCAAGAAGCTTAACGATTAAAAGGAAGTTGTTCATCCATAGAGCTCATATTCTTAAGAGCATGAAAGCTACGTACCCTAAACGTCGAAACCCTAAAGACCAGAATTCTAGCCCCCCAAAATTTCAAAACAAATGCGAAACCCCATTTACACCCTTCTTAAACCAAACCCTTGAGACAAGGCCTCTACTAAACCCTAAACTCTAAACCCTAAACCCCAAACCCTCGACGATCTGACGTCGAGGATGCCTCGCTCCGAGCTGAAAGCCTTGGCGCGAAACTCACAGCTCTCTCCGGGGTCCAGAAGTTTAGGGGTTTAGGGCTTAGGGCTTAGGGTTTAGGGTTTAGGGTTAGGGTTAGGGGAGGTTTAGATGGTCTAGAGGTTTAGGAGCAAACAGCCAAAACACGAAAGGGGTTTAGGGGTTGAGGGGTCTAGCTGGTTAGGGGTTTAGGGGTTGAGGAGTAATCAAACGGTGTTCGGAGTTCCGGGTTGAGGGTTTTGGAAGGTTTTTTTTATGTAGTCGGCCGTTGGGCTTTTGGAAGGGTTTCGATTTGCAGTAGAGGAGGCCAAAGCCTGAACGAAAGACCCTCGAAACCCAAAACTTAGTAGTTGAGTGAGTACACTTCACACTTTTTGGGATACCGTAACCCCTATGAAAACTGAAAGTGTGCACTTTATTGGGGGGGGGTTACAAGGTGGGGCCCCCTTACTATACTAACTGTAGTTAAGGGACTTATAACCTAATTTAGGATCCTTATAACCCAATTTAGGGCTCTTATAAACTTATAACTCTACTCATAACTAGGCAGCCCCACCTTGTATGAACTCAGCGACCAAGAAGCAGAACCCTATATGCGCAACCACCAACGAGTAGACCCTACGCCCTCTACGTCCCTGAACCCGAAACCCATTAAAGGTTCATGGCGTCCCACAACATTTAGGGGAAGTGCTCTCCCAAACCCTACGTCATAGGTGTTTTAGGTCTTTTGGATTTAGGGTTTAGGGTGTAAGGGTCCGAGTCTGGGTTCAAAAGGGTTTGAGGTTTTAAGGTTTAGGATTTGCTTTAAGGGGTTTAAGGGTCGAGGGGTGCCTCAGGGGTCGGGTTCGGGCCTTAGGGGTGGCTCTCAAAGTTGCAATTTCCCCCAAAAAATCCCACATCCACACACCAAAACCCCGTTACAATTCTTTACGGCTCCCGTATGACCCTAAACCCCAAACAACGCAACAATACTGCCACTGCCTTCTCTGCTCAACAACCTTGGGGACCACATGAACCCTAAAATTGGGGTCCTATAAGCTACACTACTATAGTTCCTATTAAGGTACATGAACCATAAACCCTGTTGGGGTTCATTTCGTCCCCAAGGAAGTGGAGAGGCCGGGTGAAGACGCGCCCCACGTCGCGGGGCCCTGCTCATAGGGAGGCCAGCTGTGGGACGACGAAGATCCTGTCACACCCTGTTTAGGGTTTAGGGTTTAGGGTTTAGGGTCCATCTGCTCTTCATCGTCGCCTGGTTCTTTGCCCGATATGGCTCACTCAACGGCGCTCGGCAAGGCCGCCCAAGAGTCAGTCCGGACAACCTTGTTTTAGCAAGCCTAGTTGTTTTTCGAGCGTTGGAGCCATGGCTTCTTCCGCGTTGACTGTGAAGGCTCGCTGCTTCGGAAGGAAGGGAAGTATTTGCTGTGGATGATGGTCTGTAGTGGTCGTTTCGTGCGATGGACCGCATAGAGCAGCACTTATCCCACTAAACTTCATGCTCTCTTGAAAAAAATTTGGGTCTAGTACTCAATGATTCTCGGCTGGTGCAGTAGAAAAGTCGCATCGCTACCGTGATGCAGAGGTGTCCGGATGCCAGGAGACACCTTTCATCTTGGAGGACCTCCATCAAGCAGGATTTAGGGGTTTAGGGTTTAGGGTTTATAGGGTTTACGCACCCGAAACCATCCGAAACGCCAAAAACCCCTCAACGCCTCCGAGAAGATACCTCCCCCCCCGCAAATCGAGGACGACATGACTGCTTCAGAGGCTATGGAGGGAGTCCGCAAGCTGTACCTGGGCGTTCAGGGGCTTCTTGTCCTTAGGTTGAGAGGGGGTTTAGGGTTTAGGGTTTAGGGTTTAGGGTTTAGGGTTTAATTAGGGCTGAGGGTTTCTTGGGCAGCAGGGTTTTTGAGCTGATTGTACCTTGAATGCCACTCATTACTTCCTGCCCAGAAGGCGAGGTTGCTACAACGCAGTGGACATCCCCTTTCATCCCCGATGTTGTTGTATAGGAGTTGCCCAAGCAATTCAAGGCATCCGAAACAGTGCTGGCATGGCAATCTGTTGCTTTCTGCTACTTGGACTTGTTGAGGAGGGCCTTCAAAGAGAAGACGTGATCCCATTGAAGAGAGAAGCCTGAGCGCTGTACACTCAGATTCATCGCCCCAGGTCCCCATATGTCTTAGGGCACGCGTTCTCTTCCCTTCCCAGCGCCCGAGGTGGGAATCCAAGAATTGAGACCCGATGATTCGTTGCGCGCAGCTCTCGAGGCGGCGGAAAGCAGCAAACTCGTCCTGGCCAACTACTCGATCTTAGCAGCTAGGGTGGTATCACAAGAAAGGTCTTAAACCCTAAACCCTAAACCATACTTTTGTCGTTCTTGACCACACGGGGCCCTTGCCCTGTGGCTTCATTAGCTCACAAAGTTCCGGCAAATGATCTGGCTACGGGTCAGCCCTAAACCCTAAAGTCGAAACCCTAAACCCCTAAACAAAAATCAGCATTTTTTTGTTGCACCAAGGCACGTCCAGAAGTCTGCCGGATTGCTGCCACGGAGCTCCGAGGCATCATGCTCCAGCAGTTGGAGTCTCTGCTCCTTTTTCTGATGGACATGGCGCCGTTCTGGGTCGAGACCTATGGACCCAAGACTGGCTGTTCACTAAGCTACGCTGCGGTGAACCTCTATCACGCAGTCCACTGGGTGATCTGCCCGGCAACCGCTGGCAACGGCAGCTCCGGCAGTTGTAGCTACGTGGAGCTCGTCGCCACCACGGCGGCGGCTCAGCGTCCCCGGTGGTTTGCATCGCACGCCTGGAGTGAGCCTGTCCCCAACTTTGTGGCGTGCCTCCGTCGGCACACGGCTGTCCGAGGCCTTCAGGGCACAGATCCCTATTGGGTCTGTGCCTACGCGAATAATCAGCATTTGCTGCACCAAGAAATTTCGGAGGATCCCTGTGAGACATCCTTTTACCGAGCCATGAAGCTTTGCTGTGGCGTGCTGCTTATCCTGGATGTCGCTGCGACTGCGATGAGTAGAGTTTGGTGTTGCTTCGAGGAGAGCATTGCGGCCGCGGGCTTAGTAGGACGGTGCAGGAGCAGTAGCCACGTCACATAGCTACAACTGGCCACAACCTCAGGCCTCGTAGGCCAGGAGAGGGTGGAAGGAACTGAGTACCTGAGAATTGTTTTAGAACGCAGCCTCCGGAGTAGCTTCGTTCGCTGGTGACAGAGTTGGAAGTCGAGTTGTCAGTGCGTCACAACTCCGAGATCTAGCCCTCAACCCAATGTAATGTTCCTCAGATCCATCCTTTCTATATTGCATGTCTGACCCTAAACCCTAAACCCTGAAGCCTAAACCATAAACCCTAACCCTAAATGGACACATCGGGTAAATCCCTGTTGGAGTCGAGGTCTCGGAGCGCGACTCAGAGGAGCCCCTGTTGCTGGACATCGCCACGGCACACGTGGCACACCGCGGGGAAGAGGCCCTGGGGGGTTCTGAGTTCTGGGGGTTTAGGGTTTAGGGTTTAGGGCCTGGGGGGTTCTGAGTTCTGGGGGTTTAGGCTTTAGGGTTTAGAACGGGCGCGACGTCTTAGGCTCAAACAAGAACGCAGGCAAAACCACATGATTCGGCGACTTAATTCAGACTTCGACAATTCTTCAGTGGATCATTCTTTGGCCAAGTAATGCACCAGCACAGAGTTGAGTGAACACGAACGGCCGATGCTTGGAGTTGAATCTGGCTAGTCCTCAAGCCCAGTTGCACAAAGGGTTTAGGGTTCCTTGTAGTGGCTATGCTTTGCAGGGTTATGTGAGGGATCAGAGACTTGAGATGTTGCAAGGGACAAGGGTGCTGGAATTAGGGATCCAGCGTCCCTTCTTGTGGAATGGGAGGATGGTAGGGATGAGGGCAGAAGGCTTGATGTAGTAGAAGGGGATCCTCTGTGTTCGAAAGGGATGCTTTGGGAGAGTAGAAGCTTCACTTCAAGGGGATCCTCACCCTAAACCCTAAACCCTAAACCCTAAACCCTAAACCCTAAACCCTAAACCCTAAACCCTAAACCCTAAACCCTAAACCCTCAACCCTCAACCCTAAACCCTAAACCCTAAACCCTAACCCCTAAACCCTAAACCCTATAAACCCTAAACCCTAAACCCTCACCTCCAAGGCGCAGCAGCAGGAGCCGAAGGCGCAGGTGGTGACCGACGGCCGCCATGTCGGCGTTCACACCCCCGAAACGGAAAAACTCTAAAAACCCAGAGACTCCAAAACCCCCTTAATTCAGGAATATACCTTAAATTCGAATAGGAACCCTAATATGACTTAAGGTATTGTTCCTTAATTTGAGGCGTTTTGGAGTCTCTGGGAAGGGTCGGCCCGAAGACTGTGGAATCCCTTTAGAAGGGGGGCCTTATGGGTTTTCATGTTTACTTGGGGGTGGCGTGGCGTGCTCTTCCTCCGGAAGTTTTTTACGTGATGGGTTTCTTGTAGGGTGAGAGTATGCTATGTTGTGGGGACTTGTTTCAAATTTTCTTGCATGGGGGTTATGTAGGACTTGGACTTATGGTCGGGGATCGTTACGTAGGGTATATATATATATAGAGAGAGACTACTGCAGCTACAGGTCCCTCATGTTTTTTATTCAGCATCAGGGAGTCATAGGGGGTATGGGCCCGGCTGCTGGGTATACTAAATAGGCTTCGGGGTTTAGCCGTATAAGGTTTAAGGTGTGGGCTTTTGCTATAGGCTTTTGGGTTTAGGGCGAAGACACACCCCGAAGTCCCGAAGTGGGGGGATTGTTGAGGGCACTTTTGCCCTGTGAGTCTTTGATTCGTTTTTCGTCCATCCCTATGGCCCTTTCCTCCAAAAGAAACCATATGAATGCCTGAGAATTCCGTCAGTAATTCCCCCGCGCCCGCGCCCAAACTGCAACAACCCCTAATGGCCCCTAAACCCTTAACCCTGAACCCTGAACCCTTGGGGGGAGTTGACTTTTCTGGGGGCTCCGCGCGCATCCCAGGCTTGGCAGGTGACGAGCACCGCATGATGCCGGTACTGGGTTGCTTGGCGGGGTGAGAACCGTGCTGGAAGCGGTGTTTCGAGAGGATATTGAAGTGTCTACATACGCTTATAATATTGAGAGAGATGCGTAGGTATTTTGTTGGAAATTTCTCAAGGGGATCAGCAGCCCCAGCTATTCTGCCATCTACGCCATGAAGTTCTCTGAACAGAAGGTATCAGCCTGTGGGCGGTAAGGATTTGGCACGGGTACCTGCCGGATAACAGTGCGAAACCTCTTGATTTGAACGTCGTCTCCCTGAAATTCTTCACAGCAAGTTACGGCATCTTAGGAAGGAGCCCTTGTGCAGCGAGTCAGCCCCTTGCAAAGGATCGGGCCCTAAGCTTGCTGAGTTCTGTTCTCCTTCCCTCCAAGCGCTTGTACCTTAGAGACCAAATGAACCCTAAAATTGGGGTCGTACAACCTTTACTACTATACTTCCTATAAAGGTATATGATTCGAAAATTGGGGTCGTACAACCTTTACTCCTATACTTCCTACAAAGGTATATGAACCATAAACGCTTTGGGGTTCATTCCTTGGGGACGAAATGAACCCTAGAAGGGTTTATGGTTCATACACCTTAATGGGACTTACAGTAGTACAATTTTAGGGTTCATTTGGTCCCAACCCTAAACCCTAAACCCTAAACCCTAAACCCTAAACCCTTAACCCTTAACCCTTAACCCTAAACCCTAAACCCTAAACCCCAAGGTTTGGTCCTCCCAGGGAAAGCTCCGCCCAAGGTTTGCTGGCCAAAGCTCAGCGCGAGGCGGCTTTTCCGATCGAAGTCCTGGAGAAAGGCTTGGGGTGGCTCGGGGGTTTAGGGTTTAGGGTTTAGGGTTTAGGAAAACTCCTGGTAGCCCTCAGCATGGCACGCTTCAGTGTCTTGAGAAGCCGCACAAAGCCTTGCATACGTGCACAGTCTGCAAAGGGTACATTGATGTAAGCACACCTCCATCCCCTAGAATCCTTGGGCGGTACGCTTGTTTGTGCCTCCGTTCCTCTGCAGACAGAAGCTAGGATGATCCTCCGCACTGTGCTCTTCAAGTTTTCTACTGACCCTAAACCCTAAACCCTAAACCCAAAACCCTTTCAGCTTCCCTGTTCCCATTGCCTTCACAAGGGATCCCACTTGTTTGCTTGGAAAGAAAGCGACCAGGAACCTCTACCACACGTACAATGTTTGTGTCAATGTCTCCACTGCTTGTGTTTCATGCAGTCGGGTTCTTCAGTTCTTCCGCAGTGATCTAGTCATCTTGAAGTGGATAGAATTCGGCGGTTTATTGAGAAACCCCCTTTTTTCTCAGACCATATACCGGATTGGTAGAAGTTTTTTCAGGTGTCAAAATAAGAGCGTCAAAAGGGGCCTCCAAGCCCCCCCAAACACCGATCAGCCCATCTTCACTCCAATTCTCATAAAGTCCTCATTCCATACAAACCCCACCCCACCCCAAAGCACCACCTGAAACTATTGATAGTGACATACTCAATAGAACTTTACCAGGGTTTCAGATGCTATCTATGCCCCCGCACGCAAGGACACACCCCGTTGTTTGGATGCCCCACATACCCAACACATGCTATTAATCAGTGTTTTTGAGGGAGGAGTCACTCATGCATGTATATTGCAGGCATTATTTTTGACTGGATTTTGTGGCAAGTCGAAGATGAACGCAGCCGACAGAAAACAGCACCAAATCAATGTGCCGCGTTCACGGTATTACACTTGTACTGCAATTCAAAGGGAAACTCGCCATCTCACAAACCCCTGAGACCCTAAACCCAAAGCCCCCAAACCCCAAGCCCCTAACCCTAAACCCCCTAAACCCTAAACCGCTAAACCCGAAACCCTAAACCCCGATACCCCTAAACCCCTAAACCCCTAAACCCCGATACCCCTAAACCCCTAAACCCCTATAAGCCCCTATAAGCCCCTATAAGCCCCTATAAGCCCCTATAAGCCCCTAAGCCCCTAAACCCTTAAACCACATCCGGAGGCCTGAGCATCCGAATCGCCGAGGCCGAGGCCACACAGTCCCAGGACAAGGACCGCATCCTGACCAGCGCCCTGAAATCCAAAGGAGGGTTTATAGGGTTTAGGGTTTAAGGGTTAAGGGGTTTAGTCAAAAGGGAGGGTTGCAGGGACGCGTACCAGGGCTTCGAAGAAGCACATCGTAGTGAAAGGACCCGGGGCAAGACTCGACCCTCCCGCAACCCAAGGTATCCGGCGTCAATTCGAACTACGACACGGCCGGCCGCCTTTGGATCACGAGGCCTACGACAACGTGAACCAGGCCCTTTGAGCCTTTTGCACCTCAAGGAAACAGGTACGTTTGCCTGCACGTTTTGAGGCTGGAAGATGAGGGGGTCGCGTTCCGGGGTGGAAGGGAAGGTAAAACAACAAGAAATGCGCCCAGGGTGCCCCAAGCTTGTTAGTCCAAAGGCGGCGTCTAAACTTGCCCAAAGCCAGCGCAGCTAGGTTCTCAGTTTCTTGGGCATGGCTTTTTGTCACAGTGAAGCCCACTGCAAGGCACCGGCCTTTCTTTTGCCCATAGGTAGGAAAGCCTGCGACACAAGCTTATAGGGCTAAAAGGAGGGACCCCTAGAAGGAGCCCTTAATCTTATTCCCCCTATATATATATATATATATATATATATATATAACCCCCTCTATATATATATATATATATATATATATATATTTATCTATTTATTTATTTATATATATATATATGTATATATAATATAGTCCCTATATACCGAAGTAGCCGCGAAATATAACCCCTAAATATAATATAACCCCTATACACTTTAAAGAGTCCCTATATGCATTTAGTCCCTTGCAAAAGCCAGTGGGCCAGGCGCTCGGGTCCCATTTCGCGCTGGCGGGCTGGTTTGTGTGTGTGAAAAACGCCTCGGATGCTGGGCTCTTCAATTCAAGCACGGGCTGTCCGGACCCTGGTAGTCTATGACCGTAGAACTTCAAAACCCTGAACCTTACTTAAATCCACCATAGTTACCGTTTTTAGGTTGAAGTAATTATTGACCGACCGCAAGGACCACTTTACCAAAAGTACTCCCATGATAGTCATCCGACTCACAACGGTAGTAGCCTTTTCTTAAAAGTCTGGTACAAATCTGGTACTCACACCGTCCTCGCAGACCTAGATTCACTCTAACCATGGCTTTTCTTGCTTAGCAATGAGTCCTGTGCTAGTAATGAGCTCGACAAGCTGGGCCTGCCAAAAGGGTTCTTTAATTTAGGCATGAGTATATGAGCTATACAGTCAGTCTTGGGGATGCCGTAAAAGGGACATAGGGGATATGTTATCGGTTCCGTGTCCATAGTCATAGGGCGCAAAGGGTAGTTACTTCAACTGTAGTTCATATGAGAACCCAAAGAAATCCGAAGAACCCTTGCCATATGCTCATAATCCCCACAATCGTCTGTCTATATAGGGTGAACTCTCAGGTTATTTCTCCCTAAACCTTACAAACCCTAGATCCTAAACCCTAAACCCTAAACCCTAAACCCTAAACCCTAAACCCTAAACCCTAAACCCTAAACCCTAAACCCTAAACCCTAAACCCTAAACCCTAAACCGCAGCTTTCTATGCAGAAGTGGAAGAACCGAGGACACCGAGCCCCTGCTGAGAGCCCTGGCAGCTGACAGGAGCCCGTGACGGTGTGCGTCACAAGAGAAGGTTTAGGGTTTAGGGTTTAGGGTTTAGGGTTTAGGGTTTGGGGTTTGGGGTTTGGGGTTTGGGGTTTAGGGTTTAGGGTTTAGGGTCTATAAGGGTTTACAGGGGTTTAAGGGTTTAGGGTTTATAAGGGTTCAGGGTTGAGGACCAGGGGGGGGCAGGAAGAGCTTCACCCTTTGCGGGTACAGGGATGATTCTCTCGGGATAAGAAGAGGGATGATGCCACTTAAGGTCTAAATGAATGTGAATACTAAACTCTAAACCCCAAACCCCTTTCACACTCGGCCTTGTGCGAGTGTGAGAGTCGAAACCCTGGGTCCCACAAGGGTGTTGATTCAAAGCAGCCCCGGCATTTTCCTACATGAGCGGCAGTCTGAGCTCCTGAAAGGGGGTACAGGGTTCTGATTACGGACCTTGCGGTAAGGAGTTTACATCCACGGCTCGCATAACTCCCGAGGGTCCCTTCATAAGCACCCAAGGTATCTCCACCTCCTCCAGGCCCCGCGGTTTTAGGCGTAATCGGGCCGAATAGGGATTGTAAGGCCGAAAACTGAGGCGGTAGTTCCCTACTTGGAGGTTCAGGGTACTTAGTAACCCAATTGTAAACTGTACTTATAACCCAACTGTATCCCCATTAGGGCACTTAAGGGGCTTACAAGTGGGTTATAACTGCACTTATAATGGGGTCCCTAAACCCTAGACCCTAAACCCTCCCTAAACCCTAAACCCTAAACCCTAAACCCTAAACCCTAAACCCTAAACCCTAAACCCTAAACCCTAAGCCCTAAGCCCTAAGCCCTAAGCCCTAGACCCTAAACCAACCTCCAAGCAAGCCCTTTTCAGGAGCCGGAGCATGGTGGAACTGTCCTTGACGGGCTGTAGTGGCTTTCGAGACGTGGACTTACAGTCCCTGCTGCGGCACTTGCCGAAGGAGCCCGAACCCACGTTTTTTTGTTTTTAAACCCTAAACTGGCCCTAAACCCTAAACCCTAAACCCTAAACCCTAAACCCCAGGGATTCGGGGGCTGCTGAGGGTTGAGGTTGCAACACACGAGCCATAGTTCGACAAACATCCCCCCAGTTCAGGCCCTGCAGAAGGCACGAGCAGCCCTCCAGCGCCAAGTCTTGGTCTACATTGGCGGTTTGAAAGCTCAAGCAAGGTCGCTGTGTGTCAGAGCCTGTTCCAACATACCCCTAAACCCTAAACCCTTAACCCTTAACCCTTATAAACCCTAAACCTTTAAACCCTAAACCGGCAACAACAAATCCCTAAACTTCCGTCCACTGCCTTGAGGAGCTGCGCGTGCTGCGCTTGGACTTGGCCTTCACCGGCTTGGAAGCACCTTTCGGGCTCCAGAGCGCGCTCGCAGGTGAGTGCGCAGATGAGACAGAGGAGGCAGAGGGAGGTGGTTTAGGGTTTAGGGTTTAGGGTTTAGGGTTTGGGGTTTAGGGTTTAGGGTTTAGGGTTGAGGAGACGGAGGCTGCGCGAGCTGCGTGTCACATCGGTTCTGATCGGTTTTGAGATCGGATCTCAGGGGGTTTGGGCAAGGCTCTGGCCTGGTGAACATGGGGAAGTCGCAACAGCCCCACTCTGAAAAACTGACCGGCAGTTTCTTGACGTTTCCCGTGGTCATTGTAAGATCCCCGCTCTGAAAAGTTTAGAAGCGACCCTACGAGCCTCATCATCTCAGTCAAGGGAAACGTAATGACACTGCATGAGAATCCCTCGACTCCCCTAACCGCCCTATCCGCAGATCTCTGACAAAACATGTTCGTCTAGGAGTTCTGGAGACGATCCCCCAGCCTTCAAGTCCTGTCTTCTAACGTCAGGTGACTCTTTTCCACTAGCTGAACCTCTAATGAAAGCTTGTAGGGTTGTGGCATCCCCAGAAGCCCATAGATGGGCTTTGGTAGCTGCACTTGCAAACCTAACGTTAGGGTCAGAGCATTTTAGAGAAGCCAGCTTTATTGACAAAGCTAATGCTAGAAAAGATCTGGCTCGTGTTGCGATGGCTGTCAAGGCTACCGCGACGAAGGACATGCTGACACTGCCCAGGCTTCTGTCCGAAGTTTGGGGTAGCCCTAAACCCTAAACCCTAAACCCGCATCTGAACTCGGCACCGTGGAGGGAACCTTTAGCAAGGTCTGGTGACTCTTTAGAATTCTTCTAGTGCAGCCTCTTCCAACATGACCTGCAGTCGAAACCCCTTAGCGGGAGGAGTTGCATGGGGCATTGTACAGGGCTCCAGTTATAACGCTTTTGGCGGAGTTAGACTCTAGCTTGCATAGCATGTTTCCGGCTTTTCGGCTGCATGTTCACAAGACGATATACCCCCCTTTTCCTAGCCCAGCTCCAGTTTTCAGAGGCAGAGGTGTGCAGAATCCTGCTGCGTCCCCAAATAGGGTTTAGGGTTTAGTGTTTAGGGTTTAGGGCTGCTAAGTTTTAGCCTTGGATGACACCCTCCCCCTCCCTCCGGCCTTTTCCTCTGGAGCCCTCCAGGTTTAGACCTCCCTTGGAGTGAAAGCGAGAGGTGGCAAGAAAAAAACCTGCCTTCCAGCATCTCCGGAGGTCTCTGAAGCGTTTGGCTCTGCGCTTTGCGGGCTCGCCGACCCTCCGACACCTACAGGGCTTGCCGCCGTTGCTGCACCTGCGGCTCCCTTTTGGTGTTTCTTTTTTGGTTTTTAGTCTTTGTTTTTTGTTGTTTTTTTGGTTGTGGGGGGGGGGGGGGAACTTGGGCGTCGATCTAGTGCCCACAGCAACATGGGATGTGGGCATGGGGTGGGCGGGATTTTTTCCAACTTCTTCGGTCCTGACAAGGGGATTTGCGAGTCCCGGTTGCAGCCCCTCGGGTGGGCGTGGGGGAGAAGGGTTGGGGGCAGGGTTTAGGGGTTTAGGTTTAGGGTTTTATATCTGCCAGAAGCGCAGCCTGCGACTTTCCCTCGTTGTCAACCAGACCTTTGAACCACCGAGTTTCTGACGTAGGGACAGACCTTGAATCTTTGAGGAGAGAATGACAGGAGCAAAGATTGATGTTGAGACAAGCACGACGACAGGCCAGACAGAATGCTCAGCATGCATCATGTTAGTTCTAGTTTCTCGAGAGATTGCAGCATCACTACTATTGCAAGTGGTTTGCTGTTACCGGGCTGCTGCATCATGAGGCCTGTTGCACAAAGGGTTTTTATATCGAGTGGCACCAACTCCGGGCGAGGTGGCAAGCCTGTTGCAACAGGGTTTTCCAAAAGCTTCTGAGCTGGAGGGTGGAGTCTGACTCCGAGTTCTTTCCGAATCCCTGTACACCCCCTCCTACAAGAAATCTAGGGAATCCCGAGTAAGGAAGGAACAGAGGCCACAACTCTCTTGGCGCTTTAGGGATTTCATCCTAAGACCACTTAGGGGGCAAGGAGGCGCCACTGATCATGACAACAACCTTGCATCACCAAGAGTCTCTAAAACCAGAAACCATGCGATTTACACTTGGGCTGACCCTAAACCCTAAACCCATAAACCCATAAACCCATAAACCCATAAACCCATAAACCCATAAACCCATAAACCCATAAACCCATAAACCCATAAACCATAAACCCATAAACCCATAAACCCATAAACCCATAAACCCATAAACCCATAAACCCTAAACCCCAGGCCGTGTCGCATCATAGGATCACCAGCAAGGGATCATCAAGGCATACTCATGAGCACAATTATAGGTTGTAGGGCTTTAGGGTTTTAGGGTTTCAAGGTTTTAAGGTTCTAGGGTTATAGGGTCTTAGGGTTTTAGGGTTTTAAGGTTTTAGGGAAGTTTTAGGGTTCGAGGGTTTTAGGGTTTTCCGTTTAGCCCTTTGAATCTGGGGAGGGTCCCAGTTGGATCCCATGATCACGGGCTCTACTCTAAACTCTACAGACCCAGCCCCTATAGGCATAAACCCCACAATACTAGGATTCCCAATTCTCGTCCGAAAATAAAGGAACAAGGGTTCTCTTCAAAATGGGGGTATCTATCCATCATGATCCTTATATATTGCATGGGTTGGAAGTACCACAAGCCACAGGCAGCCTCTATCCCTCGAGTGCCTGGAGCTTTGGTTGTCGAATCTGCCATTGCTGTCGGACGTTGGCTTACTGGGCACAGAGATCCGCAAGCAGGAGCGCGGGACATGGAATCAGACCCTAAACCCTACACACCAGGAGTTTCCCAACTTTCAAGTGTTCCTGAGAAGCATAGGATCTCAGCTTCAAGGGCTTTATTCCCACATGAGTCCCCGACTCAACGCGATAAGGATGTCACACCAGTTCATCCTCCGGTCATGAGCAGGGAGTAGGTGAGTAGATGATGAGCACACTTTTTGAGGAACGTTTCTTCGGATGACGAGCGGGGGTTTCTATGCCAATGGCTGCTGGCCTTGTGAACCCTATAAGCCCTAAAACCCTAAACCCTAAGCCCTAAAACCCTGAACCCTAAACCCTAACTAAACCCCTAAACCCAGAACCCTAAAACCCTAAAACCCTAAACCCTAAACCCTAAACCCTAAACCCTAAACCCTAAACCCTAAACCCTAAACCCTAAACCCTAAACCCTAAACCCTAAACCCTACCGATGACTCAGGAGTCCCAGCAACTCCAAGCCTTGGTCTTGCAGGCGGGGGTGTGTCAAGGCGATTCTAACAGTCCCCCAGCTGGGGGCCTCCTGCTCGGTTTAGGGTTTACGGTTTAGGGTTTAGGGTTTAGGGTTTAGGGTTTAGGGTTTAGGGTTTAGGGTTAGGGGTATTTTTAGATATCTACATCATCTTCGGTATGTACGACTAGTATTCGGCCTCCGAGAAATAGGGGCCCCATCGGCCTATAACGTCGTGGGGCCTTTGGGATGCAGCGGCAGGGAAAGACATCGGCCTATAAATGCACAAAGGGTTCACCTTCGGTTTGCACGTGCGGAGCACTGGTCTGAAACAGTTGTACCGGGCTTTCAAGCCTGCAGTGGCCTAAGCTCTGCGACTCTCCTGTTCGCTGCTAGAGAGGTTAATTTTCCGAAAGTACGCATCTAGCTGTCGTCGTTCCAGACAAGGACGAACCAGGACGAACAAGGACGAGCAACTTCGTCACAAAAAATCATCGTGCCAGCCCTACATCTCGCCAAGAATATCAGGCATGACCCCTTCAGTCTGCATAACACCCATCTTGGCCGCTTAGCGGCAGGCTTCGGCTTTGAAGTCGGACATGCAAGGGGCTGCGTTAAGTCGCATCTCCTCGCGCAACGTCGCATCGCGACAGCGTCCAGGGGCGTGAATTGATGCATATCAGCCCTCAACCCTCAACCCTCAACCCTAAACCCTAAACCCTAAACCCTATAAGCCCTAAACCCTAAACCCCACCCAGCGCATGCCCCTGACTCCAGCCGGTGCCTTCTAGTTCATGTGAGCCAGGATTTAGTGCTTGGATGTCGCGCAGCACGTCTCGCTTTAGGGGCTTGTCTGGTGTGTAGGCTCTCCTATCCTGCATGGTTGGAGCACATCATGTTCTCAGGAATACCTGAGGTCTGACTGACAGCGGTCTGGGTGTTTACCACCTCATCGTATTTCAAGTCGGCCTTCTCGTTTGACGAACTATTCGTCGTATGCAGGGCTTGAATGTTCTTGTGGTACAGTGGTCTCGGTCGCACCGATAGCCGCCGGAGCTTTCAAGCCACCGCTGCCTTTGAACAGCTTAGTTGGCCCTTGGAAAATTCCACCACTTTTGCTGGATACATGCTGTAACCAGCAGCAACTCTGGAGGGGATAGCAGCCCGATGGGCATGTTGCAAATACCAGCGGTAGTGTTGAAAGGTTTGCCCCTTACGGAAAGTTGACCTTCTGAGTTGTTCTCATTGAAGGGTTTGCCGCCCTAAACCCTAAACCCTAACCCTAAACCCTAAACCCTAAACCCTAAACCCTAAACCGCTCAGCTGCTCAGACTCAGAGATAGCGCCGAGTAAACCCTAAACCGTGTGCTGGAAACGCCATGCAAAACTCAGCACAAGCCGAAGAATCAAGCCATGAGTTGCCGAACTTTGGCTTGGGCGTGGCACCCCAAACCCTAAACCCTAAACCCTAAACCCTAAACCCTAAACCCTAAACCCTAAACCCTAAACCCTAAACCCTAAAGAGCCATCTTCTGAACTCGTAAGGGGGGCCTACACAGGGGCCTGGGGTCTGCTTCCAGCTCCTGCAAAAAGGTTGCATACGTTGATATGACTTCTTCTGCCACGCTTCCACATGGGATGATGTAACTTCCTAAGCCCTAAACCCTATAAACCCTACAAACCCTATAAACCCTGTAAACCCTATAAACCCTATAAACCCTATAAACCCTTTAAACCCCAAACCTGCTCATTGGCAGGTCAACAGCTGCCCTGGCCTCGATCTGAGCAGCAAGATGGATTTGCTCCCGGACTGCGCTAGGCGCTGCATCATCTTAACTCCTTCCACATGAACCCTAAAATTGGGGTCCTTTTAGCTACACTACTATAATTCCTTTTAAGGTACATGAACCATAAATGCTTTTAGGGTTCATTTCGTCCCCAAGGTTAATCTCCTTAGTTAGGTTTTTTTTTTTTGGGGGGGGGGTGCAGATGGTTCCGATTACAAGGCTGGCGATTTCCATGGGGGGTTTCAGGAGGAGTGTATTCGCATGTACGTAGGGCATCCCGTCCCTTAGGGGCACTGGATCGAATCCTTTGTGGAAGGCAGGCGATTAGGAGTTACTGAGTTGTGCAGTCGGATTGTATTCTGATTGTTCTATCAACCCTCCGTCCAGCAGCGGTTAGTCTTACTGTCAGGGACTTTGTTGAACAGTTCGTGTGAGCTTGTAGGGGAGGGCGCCCTGATTTTCTCGACGTGCTATGACTGCTATATAAGTTGCCATGATGCCAAAGCACGCAGCGAACCGAGGTACAGATGTAGGCGGCGCTATTCGTTGCCGGGGCCGCGATGGCACGTTAGGGTGGAGGACAGCTTGCTGCTGCGATGTTCCGCAAACGAATGTGATAAGATGTGGTCATTCAATTACCGGTAGGGTGGCTTGGACTCTGTGAAAGGTTGAAAGGGTTCAACATGCAAGGAAGTTGAACGGGCCTTGAGCGACAGATGACCTGGTTTCCGACTCTATATAAACCCTAAACCCATTTTAGGTATGAGGGAGCCGCCTGAAAGGACATTTCCGATCAATGGGCAACTCTGCGACGGCTCTGCGGAGAAGGGCTGACGGGATCTTTGGGCCAGGCCTCCGGATGAGGGTTTAGGGTTTAGGGTTTAGGGTGTTCACTCACACTTAAGGGGGAGAGACCGCCCCAACAAATTGTCTCTCCGAACCTTCAACTGCCTCAACTCTAAACATCCCTAAACCCTTTAGAGACCCTCTAGACCAGAAGACTCTAAACCTCTAACAGGCCCTAAACCATATATGGCCCTGTCGAAAGTAATTTTCATCCTCAGAAGCTTGGACAGGGTAGATACTCCTTGTTTGCTTGTTGGCTTTTTGGGTTGCAAGGGGGCATTTAAGGTTTAGGGCCGTTTAGGGTTCTCAGGATTTTTGATCCCTTCCCTCCTCCCCCATACTACATCCCTGTGCAGGGCCAGGGCGATCGCCACATGCAAGGGAAGGGCCAGGGGCCGCATCCGGTGCTGTTGGGCCGCTCCGACAACGGCAAGGCCACTTCATGGCTTTATGGCTTTGGGACTTTGGGGTTCTCATCATTTCTCATGGTCCCATCCCCCGCCCTTTTTTTTCTCTCTCATGGAAACACCGTCGAAAGTTGCCGACGCTGCCTCTCCATAACCGAGAGCCCCCCGGCGAGCCCCTCGGGAACATGGCCCAATTTGAAGAGGCTTCTGGTACCTCCGAGCACCCCTGGGCTGCTGCGGATGCCCTTGACGCTCGGATTTCTCTCAGACATGCGGGAATGCCCAAAGCATTGTTCAGTCTTGTGTATCTCTTCTAGCTTGGGGAGCAGGAAAGGGCCATGAAGGGTTTAGGGTTCAGGGCTTAGGGTTTAGGCCTTAATGCAAAAAGGCCAGGTTGAGGCGTTTTTTTGGACCCCTGGTCCCATGTAGTTCGGAGCATTCAAGTAAACGCACCCATGGCATTCCCGCCGAAGCACGAATCAAGCTGCGGCAGTATGCCCCAATACATCATGTGAGGAGCCAAACAGCGCAAGCCCATATGAAGCAGGGTTTATATTACTGTTTTTGGTGAGTGTATATAAATTGGTGAGTGTATACCTTGGGTGTCCTTTTGGGGGTACAAGAAATATTTACGCTGCTTCATCTCATTTTTGGGTGGTGGAGAAGTTGCGCCCCACTCCTAACGCTCACACGCCAATTTGAAGGGAAACCTGTGGAAGCTTCCACAACAGAACAAGCTTTGATCAACACGCAACAGCCTGCCCCAAATCATCATTCCACATGTTGCAGAGCAGGAAAGGCCCAAAGCCACGTCTGTTTGGAAGTGATGGATAGGCTGTGCCTCTCTGCACAAACCCCACGGCTAGTTTCTACGGTATTGCAGCCCCCTGAATGTTGCCTGCCCTGCAACGGTTAAGTGTTGCAAACAGCCATGCTGAGCATTGCATCCCGTCAAGTCTTGCCAAGCACAGCAAGTAGTCCTGAACACTGCAGCCGCCCCATTTCGCAAAGAAAAAACAGTAGTTTGGAGCATCGACACCCAACAGTGCGCAACAGAGCGCTGCAAATCACAATAGTTTCAAGCCTTGAGAAACCTAGCACATACTGCAGCACAAAACATCCGGAGCTGCCGAACACCCCGAACTGGTGGGTGCACAAGCCCTTCATCGTCCCTTGTTTGGTTCTTATTCGGGTGGTCCATGACACTCCTCCCTTTGCCCTGGGCCCCCCCCAAGCACCCCAGAACCTGTTCCGAGACGAGCCAAGCACGCAGGACGTGCTGCTAGACAGAGCCCCCCACGCCGTCTATCCCTGCAGCCGTCGGGGCTGCCAGGACAGCAGGGGTGAAGGGTCTTAAGATCCGTCTTGGGGGGGGGCGGGGGGAAATTATCCACAAATTCCAAAAAACGGCAGGGTGGCAGGGGTGTTAGGGGCTTTCAGTGGGTGCAAGGTTCGCGTTCAGGCAGGGTCCCCCGGAGAGCCACAGGGAGTTCCAAGGAGATCGGATCCTGCTCTGCTTGGTCTAGACGCCCTTGGGGGGGGGGGGGGGTGGGAGGCGTGATTTTGTTAATCCCTCACTTAAGGTAAGGAGTACTGTTCATGGAGATGGAAGGGCCCAGAAAGAAACAGAGGGTTTTGGGCTCTTTTCCAGGGGCTTAGGGGGGATTTGTGGTTTGTTCTACAAACCTTGTGCCTAGCGCCCTGCAGATCTGCAGCATCTTTGTGTTTCGTGGTTCGGAGCATTTTTCCGACATTGAGCAGCTTTCGGGGGGGGGTTCATGAAAGGCCCCAGCATGCATGCTATGAATCTTGACATGAACTTATTGACTCAACAGCCCAATTCCTGAGCATGTCTTTCTAGATGATTTCAATGGTTTCCCAAACCGGTCGTAGGAGACGTCCTAGACGCCCACTCTCTTTTTTTGTTACCAAGCTGTTGCTGTTCAAGCTAGGCCGAGGGTTTGGGAGCCAGAGTTGCCCAAACATTGTACAAGTATGTCTTTTCGTTTTTGTTTGGGAGGGGGGGCGGGTGGGGGGGGGGTACTCCCTGAGTATGTAGCTTTAGGGTTTCGGGTTGCAATGCTATGTAAGTATGCGCTCACAGGGCGCCGCGTCGGGCAACAGGAACCGTCCCTCATCAAACGCAAACCCTAAACCCTAAACCCCACTAGGCGCCTTGTAGAAGGAGCGGCACGACAACACGCATGGCTTCTGCGATCGACACTCGTCGCATCGCTTTTTTTGGCGAGCCATCGTGTTTTTGAGCTCCGCCCCTCGGTGAGAAAGGGCTGCAAGGTTTCAAGCAGCATGGGGACTCATAGCTGAGAAAAGACTGCGAATGTGCAACAGAAACGGGCTGTCATTGAAGGATTTCTAGTCTGGTGGTTATGGCCAGAATTAGTTAGGGCGCTGATCAAAGACACTCCGTGGCCGTCTGGAGCCGTTCCCACCTCTTCCAGTTTCTGGCCACGGTCCTTAATAGGGATTATAGTACCCCCCATTACAATCCCTAGTAAGGACTGTTAGTGTAAGGGGGAACATCCCAAACCCTAAACCCTAAACCCTAAACTCTGTGCGCCGAGGCTTGGCACAGAGCCGAGCTGGCGCTGCTCTTCGTGACCCAGGCATCCTTGGAGATGGACAGCAGAGCCCGGCTCTTCTTGGTTCTCCTCTCTTTGCGCTTTGGCGCAACTTTGGCCCACAGGGTCCCTAAACCCTAAACCCTAAACCCTAAACTCAAGGCCGAGGCCGCCGCCCTACAGAGGGGGGGGCGGCGCTTAAGCCCTTCGCCCTCGATGGCGCAAGCCGACCCGCCCGCCTCCCACAGCTCGGGGGTCGGTGGCACCCACATGGGGCCCGGTACCGTTCTCCTCGGGACCAGTGCTGGTCCCTTCAAGCAAGCAACCTCTCGGGCCAGCCCTTAGCGTTGCCGACCTTTTGACGGGGGGGGTACTCCCCAGGGCCCAGCCCAGGGGGTTCCAAGCAGTTGGCTTGAGTTTAGTTAGGCCTAAGCCCTAAAAGGAATAGGTTTGGGTGGCTTTGCCGCCTCGGACGGCGTGGGGTGGGAGAAAGTGTTAGATGGCCTTCCACAATCGGGCCAAAGCTGCTCTTCGAGCCTCACGAAGTTTTCGAGCTTGTTCCAAAACCTAACCTTCACAGCATCTACGCCCTATCACAGCAAACCCTAAACCCTAAGCCTAAACCCTAAACCCTAAACCCTAAACCCTAAACCCCAAACCCTAAAGCTTCTGCGAGCTCTGCGAGTTCCGAGGTATCCGGCGGTGTGCATGATGCTCGTCCAGGCCCGGGCTGCAGCTCAAAGCGATCTTCGGATGCTTTGCCTGCTTTGCCATATGAAGTAGGCTTTATATTGCTGCTTTTGGTGAGCGTATATAAGGTTCCTTTTTCATATTGGTGAGTGTATATATGGGGTGTCCTTTTGGGGGGTACAAGAAATAAATACCCTACCCCATATGTGGTAAGCGGGGGGACTCTAATCCTGACTAAGGATTGTTAGTGTAAGGGGGAACATCCCTAAACCCTAAACCCTAAACCCCAGGTTGTAAGAGGGAGTACTCTAATCCCGATTAAGGGCTCTTAGTATAAGGGGGAACATCCCAAGCCCTATGTTGCTTCTCGAATCTCACGAAGGCCGCCGGCAGCTCCATGACCGTGCTGGCGGCGCTCTCGCTACTGCTTGTCACTTAGGGATACTTGCAAATAGGTTTTTGTTTGTTTTTTTTTT